ATACGGATTTCCAAGCCGCGATAGTTAGTTGAAGTTTGAACATCGAGCGAGTAGCAGTCATCTTAAAAATCCGAAGATTTTTCGAAAGTTTGAAGCTGCGGTTGGGATTTATTAAATGAATTCGAGTCTCTGGTTATTTTCAGAACTTAATAAAGACAAAGCACAGCACAGGAGTCTGTGCTGCGGGAGATCTGCGGTTATCATCAATTAGTGGAATTGGAGGAATTTTTTCTGGAATCAGGAATCTCTAGGACCAATTGAGATTAAATCAGAGCAGACCAGTGGCTGGACATTTATTCGAGGAATTCTAGGATTGTGTAAACTCTGGGATTTAACAGAGCTTATACTAGAGCAAATTACTGGTTGGATAATTCATTGAAGTGTTCAATCATACCTTACGTTTGTCCAGGTTCCTTTTGGCACTCCGCCAGAGGAAAGCAGCCCAAATCCTGCAAAGGAAGAGCAGGTCCCTACAAAAATTGCCCGGTCTCACTCCACCCGATCACCTTGCGGTGTTAAACGATCGAGGTGTTTCGAGATTAAACTCGAGAGGGTCAAGACATCATTAGTTACGTCCTTCGGGCGAACGACTCAACCTAACCGTTGGGAACTTCCAGGATTACGATACCTTTCTACCTTATTCTGCGAGCCGCCCTCATCCTAGGGTGCTGTTCAACCGTTAGGCTCCTTGTTCCTAAATCACTAGCTCAGTATACCCTGTAGGCCTTGGATAGGAAAGTAGCTTTCGAGATCCAAGGGTGAACCTAAAAATATTAGATTTCCGTGAATCCTTCCCTCTGACTATTTCCTCGTCAGAGTCATTTTAGGGAAAGTTTGTAATCGAAATGCAGACTAGGGCAAGACAAGCTCTAGCGCCGCTTGCAGAAAATACACCAGTGCCAAATCGCGAGACCACAAGCTTCGGTCAATTAAGTTCCTTGTCAGACACGCTTAGCCGCCTGAGTGCGACTTCTACAAGCAGACGCGGAACTCCCCAGGACTCTGTTTTCTCAGGAAACAGTATTCCGAGAACTCCTGTAAAGTCGGCCAGTCTGAGGGTACACTCTACTCAACGTAGACTTTTTGCGCACGAGGACACTAGTACCTCTCCCGTGGTCGCAGAGTGACAAACCCTGGGCATTGGTGGTTTTTCAGCAAGTCGAGTAGCTATAGAACTCGACATGACACAAAGGACAGAGTCCTCGAATCGCGAAAAAACTCCGCGAAATAGTGAAATTTTATTAAACCGCTTTAGGAATTTAAATACACCGAATACGTTGCGAATGGATCAGAAAACATTTGCAAGAGAACGTCAGGAGATGTTATTACGAGAAAATGAACGTCTTCTTCGAGAAGAGGTGATGTCCAAGACAGGGAGCGAGTCCCAGATCAATCTCCGTCAACTGCTCGAGATGAGAGCAGTATTGACCACACCGAGAGCGATCTCGAAAAGGGATCATCCCCATAGCGCGCCCCAATTAGGGCTCCGCGCGACGCGCGTGGCCAACGAATCTCCTATGCTGAGATCGGCCCAGAAATCAAGAAATTCGCATTTTTGTTCCCAATCGGAACAAAACGCAAAAATCGAGGATTTTTGCCGACGGCGACAACCGAAAGAATGTTTCCGTCCGAAACCATTAATTTTACCTGAATGTGAGCCAGTAAGGTACATGACGGAGGTGGTGCCCACTTATGTGGTAACCCCAAGTCCAAACATCAGGTTTCACTTCATTGAAAGATTTGTACAGCTGGGTATCGTCCGCGTAGTGGTGTATGTGGCAGTATTTGACGAATGAATGAAAATCTGAGATGTACAAAGAAAATAACAGTGGGCCCAATATTGATCCTTGTGAAACGCCATGGCTCGAGTATTTGAGGATTCAGGGTCATTAACCACTCTCTGCGTTCTTCTATTCAAGTAACATTCCAATAGTTTCACTGAAGCAGGGTGGAATCCAAAGAATTTTAATTTACTAAAGAAAACCTCATGCTCCATGGTATCAAAGGTCTTGCTGTAATCCAGCAGGATCAGACAAGTAACCTTTTTTTCATCAATTACCCTAAAAAATATCATCGAGAATATTTGTTAGAGCTGTGGTCATGCTAAATCCTTCCCTGAAGCCACACTGCATCGGTGGTATAATATTATGTTTCATTACGTATTCATTGATTCGACTGTATGAATTTTTTTAAATGTTTCAGCTAGAACTGGAAGAAGACTGATTGGTCTTAAATGGTTGATATTGGTAGGATTCGTTATTTTTGCTAAGGGGATCACAAGTGACAATTTCCAAGACGTAGGGAATGTTGAGTTATTCATGCAATGATTGTATATGTATGTTATATAATCAATAAGAAAATCAGAAATCCAATTAAGCATTTTCAAGGTCACTATATCGGAGCCCACTGCGTTACTTTTTATTGAGTTTATATATTTAAGTACTTCCACGTTCCCCACAGTACTAAACACAAAAGTGCCTTTCTGATTATATGAATCTTGCTTATATTCATTGAGTAAGTCTGTATGACCTTTGCTTTTAACAACGTTGGGAGCAGTTGTGAAGAGTTTATTTATTGCATTGACATCTATCAAATCATCTGGTAATGTTATGTCAGGTTTTTGATGAGTAGTCAATTGCCGCAGGGCCTTCCTCAGAGATTGTTTTGATGTGACACATAGTCAAAGTATGCTTTTTTCTCACGTATTATTGATTGTTTTGTGAAATTTATTAATGTCTTATAATAGTTCCAATCAGCTGGGAATTTGAATTTTTTGCATTTGCTATATGCTTTGTCTCTTTCTTTCATCATGATCTTCATAACATCAGTCCGCCAAGGTGCGGGTGGTTTAGTTACGCGATTAGTTGGTACTGGAGCACATTGGTCAAAAATACTTAGCAGTGAGTTATTGAGAAAATTCACCATTTCATCAAATTCATTGTATCCGTGAATAATTGTATCCGTAATATTCAACTGAGTGAAAGGAAGTTGTGAGGGTATCCATTTTGAAATTGCAGAAATCTCTGTATTTAATACACTTAGCGAAGCTAAGACAAGTTATTCCGTAGACAACATAACAACAAAAATTTCGAACTGTTGTTGCAATATGAAATTTTTTATTATATTAAAGTGTACCATTGAAGACCTCACGTTCAAATGTCCCAGATGCATGTTTGAATTTGACTGAGGGTAGATACATTCAAGTATTGAGATAAGATAAAGCAAACACAAAAAAAATTTTCCAAAACCAAGTCGGTTATTGATGGATACCCTTTACTTATCAAAGATAAAATGATTCAGATTATATTGTCAAACAAGCTATACAATTCATCAATTATCATATAAAGAAATGCGTTTCAGCTATGAAAAAAATTAAATTTTCGTTTTGGAAAAAAAAAATTAAAAAAATTGAAGAATTGAAATGCTTTTCCATCATTCAAACATGATATTTCCAAAATTTAAAAACAAATGTCATGCGAATGATGTGGATATTGTTGATCGTAAATATTTCAATACGCCAAATAAAGTTATCGATTCAAGTACGGACTTGGTACAATGAAAATGCTATGGATGTAATATTGAATATATTACGTGGATTTGAAAAACAACAGTCGAGGTGGTTTTGAGTGAAATTCTTTTGTTGGAAGTAGCAATAAATGAATATGTGATTGGTAACGGTTCTTCTTTCATTCCATTGCCGCAAAAAAATCGCAAGAAAGGAGGCATGCAATAATTTACAAAATGATGACGAAATATGCTTCTTTTGAAATATCATTAGCGATTTATATCCTGTAGCAAAACATCCACAAAGATTGTCAAAATATCCACACTATTCTACAGGGCTGAATACTCCAATTTACATTCAATTTCCAAATTTGAAAAAACTAATAATATTTCTGTATATGTTCATACTTGAGGATTGAATCAAGAAAAGAAAAGATCATTTTATGTAGTAATACCTGTCATACTCAAGACAGCAAAACGAGATGGACATGTTAATTTGTTAATAATCCAAGGCAAATATTAATTATGATTATGATTGATTATGAGGCTTCACATATTAATTATGATGACGAGACTGAAATTGAATTCAATTATTGTTGGATCAAACACATGTCCCGATTATTAAATAGTCAATTGTACAAAAATGAAAAAAAATGTTTCGTGATAGATGTCTCAATTATTCTTCAAATGCGAAAAAGTGAATACGTGTGTAAAATGTCCTTTCCTACATATGATTATGTAGAGTTTCAAAATAATGTTCATGAACAAAAATGCCCGTTTATAATTATTTGTGCTGATTTCGAGTCACTGTTGGAAAAATATAATGGAAGCACATCTATCTAACACTACAAAATATTGGTATTTTGTGGTATTGGTATTGAACGGTATATGTTTTTGGAAACATATACCGTTCAATGCAGGCTACTACTTCAACCCTTGAGTAAACGTGTAAAAAAATATACCAAGAAAGGACGGGTTGGTTCTGAGATACACACATTTGTTATTATCATTATCTTTTTTAAATAAATTGAATTGATACTGTTCATGCAAAATTATATTTATTGTTACTCTCACTATCAACCAAAAACAAGTATTCCGATATATTTCATTACCATAAAAGAAAATTCATTTTGAGCGCAGTCTGGGCATGTATGCTTGGAATGTTCCATACAAATCATTTTTTTACAGATGTGACAGAAAAATCTTGTTTTGCGATTTCGGAAAAAGACACATCTTCGATATGTTCCTTGTAGTGGATCTGCTTGCTCAACCAAACTCTGTCCACTAAACTTCGCAGCTTTCAGCCTTACATCTCTTGATATTTGTTTGTCAATAGCTCTTCTCTTTAGCTGTTCCGTAACTAAACTCATTCCTAGTTGTTTCCGGTATTTTCTCCTTCCTGTTTTTGTGATAACCATATCCTTATTGTTGGTCCTATATATGAGGCACGAATTTATTGCACTGACGTTGAGCAAGGAATAAAATATTGTCATTGGTCATCTCCTAGTATTTCTTGATACATCGTATGATGCCACCATTTGATCCACACTATCTACCCCCGCTTTTGTCGCATTATACAGGGTGATCATTTCTGGCTTATTTTCATCTCCAGTACTTTCGTCGATTTTATCGTCATGATGCATAGTAGACAGTAATACAACTGATTTATTTTTTTTCGGTTTATAAGATACTGAAGTCATGTCTTTAGTGAAAGCAAACATACTAGTTTTAGCAGGTCTTCGCACTGTTAGAAATTCTGGTGGAATTTCCACTTTATCCTTGCGTAAAGTTCCAAGAAGAGTCAATTTATGATCAGTCAATAGTGATCGTGCTAAGGGGATAGAGGTGAACCAATTATCCATCGTGATGTTTCTTTTGCTATCATGGATGGGCTCTGTCATTCTGACAACAACATCAAGAGATTTATTGCTCACTTGGTATGGTCCAGCTGGTTGGGTTCCTGTATACACTTCCATGTTGAACGTATAATGCAACATAGTATCTACAAGCGAATATATTTTTATTCCATATCTTGCAGGTTTATTAGGTATGTACAATTGGAAGGCACATCAGCCACGGAAAGACTTGCGAAAAACCGTTCACCCCCAAAGATGTTATCGTGCATGATCATTATACGGAGGCATTCCGCGGATTTGCACACCAAGCCCCATGTAATGTCAATTTTCGAAAATAATCCGTAGTACCCATTACTTTTCATGATCTTTCAGGATATGACAGTCACTGTATTATAAGAGATATCGCAAAAAGAGGATGTGTGAGCATACTTCCCTGAAATGAAGAAAAATACAGTACTTTTACACCGAAAGATGTTGAAACTAAAATTAAATTTTGATTTATAGATTCTTTTCGATTCATGGAAACGTCGTTGGATGAATTAGTATCCACATTGGATCAAAATGATTCGGGATTTGGAAAAAAAAAGTATTCATAGTAGAAATACAAGGCGAAAGGTATCTCAATTTTTGCACATAACCTCAAATTTGTTTCTGCATAAGAGTGTGTGTGTCAGAGCGAGATGATGTGTTTTCATGAGAGCGTGTGTGTAGAAGTGAGAGGGGTCGGTTTGTCATAGCAGTGTGAGACAGATGGAAATGGTATCGAGCTGATCCGTTTCAAAAATAACAAACGTTTGGCAGCGCAAACAGTTCGGCGTTGTTTATGGGGGCGATGTGGCGTTGCCGGTCTTTTGAAATTGAGCGTGGGAAAAATGACGTCATCAACGGCGATGATTAGCAGGGTCTAAAGTTTCAACGTGCGATTCAACATGCCAGAAGGGCACAGAGCAGCATTTTCGTTCGAGAAAAAAACGGTAACGAGGGTCTAACGTTTCAACGCATGATCGTTGGATATATAATGACAAGCCCTTCGCCTATGTGCATTGGGATGATTCGAACGAGTTATGCGATAGATTAAAGCTGCTTATAGCTTCGAAAGATGCTGGAAATACGTCACATGACAATGAAATTACAGCTATATTCAATGAACTCAGAGAAGCCAACATTATTCAGTAATAAATGATTCAAAATAACATGTATTTCATTCCAGAAATTCGATGCGATAATGCAAAATTGACAGCATTCAATGCGATAAAGCGATCATTTCTGTCACTATAATCGCAACGAAAAAAACGTATTTTTAAAAGCATCATTTCGTGCAAAAACACATTTGATTCACATTGTAACATGCTACAAAAAATAATGCAAAATTGACACGAAAATTGCGTCAAAAAAATGTCAAAAACTTGATGCGATAAAACGTTCATTTTCATCACAATAAACATATCAATAATTCAACAAAAATTGAATGTGTTGAAACAACCATATCTCGGTCGCTTAGACAAAACGCACAATATATGAATCTTATCGGTGTGTGTCACATTTCCATCGTGACTCTCGACAAGTTTTGACACAGCTACAATAGAGAGCGAAAGCAATTTGCAACATCAGCAGTAGGCACTGGTGGAGGTTTGCTACACACACCCGATGGCAACATTGATTTCGATATTTGAAATTATGTAATGTGAAAAAACCTACGAACGCATCAGATGCAGTACAAAGAGTACATGAATGAAGTTGAGAAAGAAATTGATAAGATTATACAGAATGGAAGCGGTCGACATCAAAAACAGCCCAAGTAAATGAATATCCAACAAAAATGTGAAGGCAAGTCGATCAATGTCAACATCAAATAACTCAAGTTAATGATGAAGTAACAAAAATGAGTAATGATATTCAAGAACAGGAGAATGTGAACAAACGATTAGCCAATAAATTTCAAACATTCAATATCAACTTTGTTCAAATGTTACAAACAAATATGGTACGCAATAACGAGGCGGTGGCGCGTAACCAAAAATTCAATCAGCAATATTTAAGTAATATTGAGAATATTTAAACGGATTTGTTGAGAAAATAACAGAAATTACCGATTTGGTTCATTCGCATAACAAAACTTTGAGAATTGAACAAAACGACATGATGAAGCACTTTTAAGGTGATATCTCCAAACAAATTTCCAAAATGAATTCGGATTTAGCGAAGATACAATATGATATCAAGAAAATCAACAAAACGTCATCGAAATCGACGCAGGATGGAACAAGTATCGTAGCGATTTAAGCGTGGAACTCCACCCCTCGGCCCCCTTGGTACTCCACCTAACCTATCGGCCCCCCTAGTACTCCACATCACCGCTCAGGCCCTCTTAGAATTTGTTCCAGAATACGCAACAAGGCTAGAGAAAAAATTTTGATTAGAGTTGTACAACAATTATGAAATTTAATAAAAAAAATGAATATTTTCATTGAGTAAATGTTGTTTCATTTCAAGTTGGTAGAAATATATAATATAGGTATGCAGAATTATCGCTATCACTTATCGGTAAAGCCAGACACGTGGCTCAAAGTGACGAAACAAAGGCTCTTTATTTGATTGCATAATATGTCATCACCTATTTTCCTATTCTTACCCAAGGTGACATTGATCACTGTCAATGCTGAATCAGAACCCAGAGATATGCAGTTCTCAAAGCGACGGAACAAAGGCTCTTTGTTTGGTTTTGAAATATGTCATCACTTATTTTCCATAAATACCTCCTGCGAGGCGAAATGATGAGTTAGTTGTATCAGTGACACTAGTGACAAGTGCAACGATTTTATCTGAAAGTAAGTGTTTTTCACGTTCACTTTATGAGTTTTTATTGCAAGATTTTTTATACGTTTTTGACTTTTTCACAAAAGAATTCATTCAAATTTAATTTAATTCAAAGGTCGTGAGAGTTGTTGTTGAATTATCATTAATTTTCCAAAATTTTTCCTCAGATTAATATACTGGAGTGTTTTTCTAAACATAGTTTTTGAGGATTAACGTTTTTTTCAATTATTTTGTAATACAAAACGGTTCAGAGGTATTTACGTATTCCTCAAGCCAAGCCTGGTCTACTATTTTTATCCTACATACGTCAGAAGATAAGAAATAACAATTACTGATATTTCTCAATCCTTAATAATGAATAAAAGATAAGAACCGGTAATTGCTAACATCCATTTTTCTCGAAAACTATCTTTCACAGTAATTCTTGTATCGTACAAATTGTTTTGATGTTAGATGGCAGCCTCATAACCGAAAACGTGATTATGAATTTTACTCGAGAATCATCCAAACTGAATAAAGTTTTTCTCGTATTTTATCTATTTGCCTTTGACAATGCCATATCTTGCCTATATACACATTTATTAAGTAGTAAACAGAAGCTCATTTTGTGAGCAGCTTTCTAGTTGAATAAAACGCATAGTAAGTTACGAATAACTTTCATTCATGTTGTTGTTTATTGAGAGAGTGTTCGTATAATTTGAAACATTGTTTTTTTATTTTTGGTTTCTCGCAGGTGGATTTCATGAAATTCAAATTCAGTCGTGAAGAGGGAACCAATTAATAACAACAACAATTTGTTACCATACCGAGTGACGGAGGAGTATCACCCCCATTCAGAAGAATTTTGTATCAGGAAAATACGCTGTCGTGTTGTTTCATTTGAAATTGTACGAAATTAAGGTTAGTACTGCAATTTTTCTTTGTTCAATATATGTATAGAGTTTGTGGTTGTATACTATATTTTTTGTTCGACTCAAAAAGTTTTTCATTCATAGATATGATCCGCACAAAGAAGTGTTTTCAATATATTTTATGTGTTTAGTACTTGCAGAATATGTGTTTTAAATTCGTTGTTTTGAATGACAGTTGATTTTTTTAATTATAACTGTAACTCGATCATTTTTCACAATCACTCCATGAAACACATTACCCCCACTCTTGAATATTATTTTTCTCTGGTATATATTTGCATTGAAAATCAAATTTATTTCAGAACACTACATCAACGTGTGCAGTATCAGTTCAGTCATCTCAACAACTACATCCAAATTCAACTTAGCAACCTTTCCAGAACGACTTTCAAATTACAGCAGCTTCCAGAACCATCTCAACAGTGTCCACAGAACAAAATTCAATTCTCTGCAGCTTCCAAAACCGACTCATAATAGCTAGAATTTCATTTGTGAACAAAATATCGGTGAGTCATGTCAATAAATAAAATTTGGTACAATGAAAACGCTGTGGATGTTATATTGAATAAATTAGGCGAATTTGAAGAACAATTGTCGGGGTGGGCTTTGAGTAAAATTCTTTTGTTGGAAGTAGCAATTAACAAATATGTGATTGGTAACGGTTCTTCTTTCATTCCATTGCCACAAGAAATCACAAGGAAGAAGGCATGCATTAATGTACAAAACAATGACGAAATGTGCTTTATTTGGAGTATTATTAGCGCCTTGTATCCTGTAGCAATACATTCTAATAGAGTGTCAAAATATCCACACTATTCTACGGTACTGAATACTACAGGGCTAAATACTCCAATGGACTTACATCAAATTTCCAAATTTGAAAAACTTAATGATATTTCTGTTAATGTTTACACTTTGGAAATGAATCAAGCAAAGGAAAAATCATTTTTTGTAGTGGTACCTGCCAGAATCACGACAACAAAACGAGACAGACATGTTAATTTGTTATTAATTCAAGACAGATATTTTCCAAAATTGAACGATTATGAGGCTCCACCCATTAATGACGATGACGAGACTGAAATTAAATTCCATTATTGTTGGATCAAAGACATGTCCCGATTATTAAGTAGACAATTGTACAAAAATGGAAAGAAAAAAAATTTGTGATAGATGCCTAAATTATTTTTCAAGTCAGCAAAAATTAAATGATCATACTGTTTTGTGCGAAAAAGCAAAATATTGTAAAATTTCCTTTCCTACATACGGTTATGTGGAATTTCGAAATTATGTTTATAAACAAAAATGCCCGTTTATAATTTTTGCTGATTTCGAGTCACTGTTGGAAAAATGTAACGAGAGCATATCTAACAAAACCACAAAATACCAAAA